GACCTCATCCAGCCTCACCCACCGACTGGCCTCACGTACGCAATCCTCTTTCCCTCCTCCTCCTCCCACTCCTTTTCTTCCCCTAAACTCGCCCGTTTCTGAACTACCGCCTTCCCTCTTGCTATCACCACACGTCCACCCTCATGCCCCGAAAGATTCCCCCAGTCAGTCTGCCTCTTACGCAGTCAGTAATATTAATTCTACGACTCCTTTCGAATATCTTATGTTTTAATTCCACAACTATCCTTAATTGAACGCCTTCATTTTAAATCTCTTGCCAGCCACTATCCCCCCCAATCTTCCTCTTCACTCGGTCAGTAACAGGATTTCCTTCCAATACCTCCAGACCACGACATGAATTCCCCGTTGGCTCAGCACCCCAGGCTTTTTCTCCCTGCAAGCGCCCACACAATAAACCTTCCACATTTTTCTATTCCCTTTCAGGAAGCACCAACCACCTCTGCCCAGAAGCCCCCAACTTCTGGCACACTTTCCCCCTCTCCAAAATTCCCCTTCCGATTTCACTGCGTTGCCTAGCAACGTTTATGCTCTCCACCGCACCCCAGTTCTTACATTCTAGGTTGCACACACTCGTAAACGAGATCGGTTTTCTCCCCTCCATAAATATCGTTTCATTTTAAAAAAAAACCCTTTTCTTTCTAGCTGTTCTGCACACCTCCCTCCTGGGACAGATCATTTGCTTCTGGACGCCTCAGCGCACATCTCCCACTTACTTCATAATCATGCATAATCTCTTTCTGTGCTGCTTTTCCAAATACAGTACATAGGCGCTTGCCTGAAAGAGACGAGACCTCCACCCTCCCCTTCCAGGCGCTCCCACTTCCGCAGCTGAAAGTTCGTCTCGCCTGTCTCCTCTCACTTGAATGCCACGCTGCAAAACAGCCGAGATCTGTACTTACAGCGAGCTGGAAAGGAGAAGCTCCAAAATTCAGCATGACCCTTAAGGGAAGGCTTCTCCTCACTCCTCCCGGACAGCCCTGTCAGGCCCGCTGCTGCTGCTGTTGTGACGCCGCTCCGCCAGCGAGCCGCGGTTGTTGACAAGCGCCTTCCTCCGAGCCCCCCCCCACCCCGCCCCAGGCGTCGTTCTCTGCTGGAGACGGCCTTTATTTTTCTCTTTTTGTTCGCGGGCAGCTCCCCATTCAGGTGGCGGTTCCCCAGGCCGACGTAGGGAAAAGGCGGGCGTAGGCAGGGCCAATCGCCTACAAAGGTGTGTGAAGTCGTGGCCAATGGGCGAGCGGGGGCCACGCGTGATCAGCGGCTGCCCGGCAGCGTGGAGAGGGAGTCTCCCCGGCGTGTCCATAAACTCGGCGGCGTGTCCTGGTGTAGCCTTCCTGGGGTAAGTCCCTGGTGCGCGCTGAGTCAGTGTCATGTCGGTTCCCGCCTACCCGCCCTCTTCCTTCGCCGGATCCTTGGGGGAGGAACGTGGTGGGCTGCTGCAGTGCAAAGATATTTTGCAAAGGCAGGTGGTAGAAAGGGTGCACAAGGAACTCTCCTATCAGCCCTCAGCCCAAATAGACAGATGGATGCATACCACAAGGTAACAGTGTGTGTACATGTCACTCTTACTGGAGTCTCAGATAAAGGGTTGAAGAATTATCGTTGGTTGTCCATCAGGAGGCTGGTAGAAAAGCAATGGATAGATAGCTTTCTAAACACCCACTTGTAATGAATTGGTTAGTCGCTCAAATGCCACAAGCACCTGTAAACAGTTACGCAGCAAACAGGGAACAGCCTTATACTGTATCAGACTATAGAGGACCAGATAGCCCAGCTCTGACTGGCAGCAGTATTCCAGGATTTCAGGCAAGATTCTTTCCCATTCTTTCTTGGAGCTCCCACGCTCCTACTACTTTCCATCAAAGTAGTAACCAGACCCTGTTTATCTTCCAGTATCATAAAAATGTGATCAGTTGTTTTTGTTATGAAAAAGTAAGATTGCTGCTTCTCTGCTGTATGTTTAGGGGCAGTGATACTAACTCTTTGAGAAAAGGATATGACGTGGAAGAAATACAATGACTGGGACACTGGAGAAAGGAGCAGAGCTGAGTTCTGAATTAGTCTTCTCCTATGACAGAAGTACTTCTTGTGTGTGTATGAAAACAATAGCAGCAGCAGAAGTTTGGGTGGGAGGCCATATGGCCCATCTCAGGTGATGCGGGGGATTACAGGGCATTCTCAGGCTTGAGTGACCCACAAGTGGTACCATCTGTGACGGTGAAGTTATGCTGTAATCACAGGGAGTGCAAATAACTCATTCCATTACATAGCCCATCTCCTTCCTATTTATGCTTGTTATTCCTTGGGGGAAATCTGTTGGAGCAGCTCTGGTGTCAGCCCTTAGCTGATTGATTGTGCTCCTTTACACTGGGTTTGTACCTTGATGTCACCCTATATTTTGAGGATACAGATGTGATTTTTTAATCTTTGGTGTTGTCTCATGTCTCCCTTTCTCTTATACACTTCTTGTAATACAGGATACTGATAATTATGGATTTATTACAGTGGACCCTTGACTTACAGACGGCTTGACTTACAGACTTTTTGAGTTACAGACTTCTCTGGCTGCAAAATTTAAGTTTGACTTGCAGACTGAGATTTGACTTACAGACCAGAAAAAAACCAAAATGGAACAAAAACGGCCTGTTACAGGATTAATCGGTTTTCAATGCACTGTAGGTCAATGGAGACTTGACTTACAGACTTTTTGACTTGAGAACCGCCTTCCAATACCGATTAAGTTCTCAAGTCAAGACCCCACTGTTATTGGTTTGGTCATCAGCTGACATCAGTAGAATCAGGATTGTATCAATATTAGTCAGTTTGTATTCTTGACAGTTAAAACTTGGTTTCTCTATGACCTTTCTTATATCTCCTCTTCTTTGAACGTTTTGCATTAAGTCATATATAATGAGTCTTCCTGTTGGTTTCCTGTATTTGCATGCACTCCACCAACCTGGTCTGCCTGATCTATCATGGGTCTGCTGTCCTAAATCCATTACCAGCTGAAGAATCAGGTGCATCCAAGTCCAGGCACACCTAGCTCTTCTGAGGTTCAAGCTGTCTTTCAGGACAGTGTTGGGAATGTATAGCCATATGAATGCTGTTGCACTACAGTTTCACAGGTGCCCTTACTGGAGCTAGTTCAACAACATCTGGAGGACTGCACATATGTAGTTCCTATATTAAACATTCACTCCTGCTTTAGAAGTTGCTTCTATCGCATTCCATGATAATTGCTTCTGAATTATCACGGAAAGGTTTGTGTAACCAGGCAAGTGGCCTCTTTTCTGTATTCTGCACAGAGATTGTCTTGTTGTGTGTCCTGTTTTTTAAAAGACTCTCCTTTCTCTGTTTAGTTTGTAATAATGGGTTGGTGCTCTTGAGGAACATTTTGCTGTTGTGCCAGGATGGGAACGTTTTTTCATTGTAAAATGTGTGATGTATTGCGTGCTTTACAATTCCTGTTTGGAAGCTGCAGGTGAATCTGCATATTTTGAAAATGTTGCACATCTTTCTCCTCCATTTTTAAATTTTTTCCTGAAGAAGCCTTCCAAATTAACTAAATGTTGCCATGTCAAAGCAAATCATGCCTTTGCTCTTGGCTGCATTTACAATTAAGGGATATTTAGTAGTTCCACATGCAAGCTCTGCTTGTTTCAGTTAGTACTATGTCAGATTAGCATCAGAAAATGAAAAATTCTTGATTCAGACATGGGCAGCTTAAGGGTGCACAATTTTTAGTTTAGATATTATTACATCAAGCTGGGATTTAATTAAAATAGGTTTAAAGTTTTTTAAAAAAATTCTTTTTAATTTTAACAGGATTGTTTTAACAGGCCTAGTTCTTTAAGGAGATAATTTCAGTATTATACTTTGTACAAATTCTCACAATCTGATCCTGAATTTGTTTATTCTTCAAACCTATTGATTTCACTAGTATTATTTTATGAATAATTCCAGAAGTTATAAAAGAGGAAGCTGCAGTTACTTACATACTACTTCTTTTCAACTCAAATCTGCCTGCACATCAATATTTCATGTTCCGTGCTTGCTCACAAAGCAGTTATCGTAGCCACTTACTGGTGTTGCAATTACTGATGCATCACAGCCAAACACATAGGGAAGTAAGGCATCAATAATCCATCAAGGAAAGGTATTCTTGTATCTCTGTAATGCCCCCACCTCCAGCAGCACACTGTAGAAAACAGTGAGCATTTTTAATTCATAGGCATTCTGGGAGAGCAGTAATGGGAGCTAGTGCTGAGAAGCACCCATACAGAAACCAGCAGAGAGGAAAAATGAGTTTGCTATTTATTTCCATCAATAAATAGATGGAAATGCTCATTTCCTTGCAGAGGATTCCTAAAAGGCAACAATTGGAAAACTTTAAAGTACCTATGTGTGTTCCACGCTGTCATTAGTTTCCTAAAAGAAACTTGTAATTTATGGTTAAGTTGCCGTCAGGCGAACTGATAATATTAGATACGATTGGGTATAACATTGGTTGTTGTGGGTTTTTCGGGCTGTTTGGCTGTGTTCTTTTTTATTGATAATCTCTAGTTTTCTGTGTCTTATATTGAATTTAAGTGGAACACAGTGGATATTTTTCTTTAGCCATCAGCCTTTGGTGTGTTTTTTTTAGTTACTTATTCCTGGACTCCATGTAATAGAGGCCAACCTATAATGTTCATTTCTCCTCTGTAAAATAAGGGAAAGTACTGGGTATTGTTGTCAGTGCACTGAGACAGAAAGGCAGGATGATTTACAGTGCTTTGTACCCCATGGATATACAAAGCTAATTAACCTCTCACTTTGGCATCCTGAAACCAGAAAATGTATCCCTAAATGCAGTAGCAATGTGAGTTATGAGAATCTGCGATCATGTTATTCCTGCAAGACACAAGTTGCACTCATTGTATTGCTCCTACAATAACTCCCAGTTAAAAAGTAAGATAATTAGGTGTTCAAGACAAGTTTAGTCTGAACATATAATGTGGCTCGGTGTGGGTGGGTGTTTTCAGTGCAACAAATATTAAATTCAGATTTGAATGAAATTTATTAGAAACCTGCTTTAGTTCAGAATGGTAGTCGGCCGACAGTGGCACAGACTGAATTTTTAATCCTTATTTCCCACATTAATCTTTATTTCCCGTGTTTGCTTCTGCTTACAAAGGTTTTTCGTTACCTGACTGCTATATGTATATATTAGGGAGTCACCCTTTTATACCTGAAATGCCTATTTTTGATTGGACTTAGTTCTCACTGCAGCATGAAAATGCCTCAAAAATCAGAGAGAGAAAAACCTTACATGAAAAAAAATAATTTGGAAATGAACAGAAATCATGGCAGTTAGTAATAATGCAGATAGTTTTATTAATGTGGCTTTTAAAAATTTCATACTTTACTTTCCCACAAAACCACAAGTTCAGCCTGAAGATTACATTTCTTTGATGTGGTAATCCTGAATTAGCAAAGAAAATACATACTGAGAAGACTAGGAAAGGGTTGAGCCCTTAATAATGTCTATCATTTTTAATCCTTATTTTTCCGACTCATACCTTCTGTGAAACCTACATACTGTATAGGGTTTCCTGTGAAAACAGTACCTATGCTGGTGCAATAGGGTTCCAGTCAGAAGAGTTACTTCTGCAGTCCAAAGTTTCTACTTCAATAGTAAACAAGATGTGACACTTCTGAGTTTAACATATCTGCTTTTTTTTTTTAAAGGGGGGGGATGCAAATAGTGGTTCCTAGGAGTATGTGCGGATACCCTGTTTTCCCCAAAATAAGACCTAACCTGAAAATAAGCCCTAGTATGGTTTTTCAGGGTGCTCGTAATATAAGCCGTACCCCCAAAATAAGGCCCAGTTAAGTGAAACCCCGTCCTCCAACACGGTGCAGCAACCAGAAGAAGATGACATGACCGTCTTTGAATAAATGTAGATTGCTGTACATGGGGAAAAAATAAAACATCCCCTGAAAATAAGCCCTAATGCGAACACGGTAAATAGAGAGACTACTTCAGGTAGAGAGAGAAGGTTA